TTTGAGAAGATCTACATTTCGTTTGATTTGTTTGTTGATATGATGATAAATGTGATTGATATTGAACAAAATCATTTTTTGTTGCTGGTAATGAACAACGTGGAATTGTATGATGAAATGAAACTTTTCTTTCACGTTTATTATTTCGACTTGATGATCGACATCGTATTGAAACATCGGGTTGAAGTGAACGATTTATTGTTGAAATTGATAAATTTTGAAATGATGATGATAATGATGAAGATGATGATGATGTTGCTGTTGTAAGAGAAATACGTGGAAATGAAAGAATACATATTAAAGAATTTAATGCATTTGATATTGCTTTATCAACTTCATTATTTGCTAAATTTAATAATTCTTCAGGATATAATTCATTAAATGAATTGTCACCATTTTTTTGTTGTTCCATCTAGAAAAAAAGATAATGAAAAATTGATTGTCAAATCTTTCTTTTTTTCTTTAACAAAACAAAAGTACAATTGAATTTTTTATTAATTAGTTTTAGTTGAAGGTTGTTAACGATGTTATAAATAAATTCATTGATAATTGTTTTTTCAGATGTTATCATCATTATTTTTCTATATGAATAAAATTAAAATAATGAACATAGAAATTAATTCGGCTACTCGTTCAAAAATCAAGATTATACAATACGAAAATAAAAATAAAAAAGATAAAAAACAATTTTGTCTTTGCTAAAGGTTAGACTTGCATTTTGTTTTGGTATAGAACTATATTCGTAAAATTGATCTTTTTAAAACTCCGATCATTTCTTTCAACAAGTTTCTTATAGTCATATATTTTAGAAATATAGACAAGGAATAACAACTTTCCTCAAACAAAAAAATTCATCTTAGGGATCATCCATGAAAGAATGTCCGGGAAAATGCAGAAGAAAGGTTTACCAAAAACCGGATGAATTCAGATAGATAAGAGTGGATAGTAAAACATACATCGATATTTAGATACTTGTTACGAAATTTTGATGTTAAGTGAGTTTTAACAACATTTTTAAAGAATTCCATGATATCTAATTGATAAATGAATAAAGTATATGAATTGTTAAATGTATGTTCTGCTTTTCTGTCTGATATGCATTCACTATAGAGAACTGAATGCGGAAAGGTACGATAACTCTTTTTTTACTAATTTTCGATGATTCAAAATCTAGTAAAAATGATTCTACTAAAATCTTGGCAAGATCAGATTGAAATTATTAAGATTCGATAGGATCCTACATAGTAGGTTCGATCTGAATACGTATTTCATTTCTTCTTCTCATACACTTAGTTGATGAACGATGGCTCAATAGAACAAAAAAGACAATATAGTTGAATAACAAACGAGAGAACCTCTCCACATGTCAAATCGCTTTTCGACCGAGATGATCTTCATTTGATGAATACAAGTAAATAATAGAAAAGTCTAGAATGTTTTGACTTTCTGAGCATTCGTTCTCGAGATATCAAAATTTTACTGAATTTTTCAACAAAAAGTTGTGACTTTCCCTCAAGTTACGCGGAGAACTAATTTTCGAGTTTCGACTTCAAAATATATGAACCAAATTTTCTTTTAAACATGAGAGAACTTCGAATATCTCAGCATAAGAAATACTAGAAAAAATACAACTTGTCCAGTAAACTAATCTCATTGAAAATTTTGTTCATGCAAAGTTTGAAGTCGAAACTCGAAAGTGGATTTTCCACGCGATCTGAGAGAGAACATAGTTTTTTGTAGAAAAACCTCGAAAAATTTCAATATCTGGAGAATGAAGGTCGGGAAAGACAAATCATTCTATACTTTTCTATTACTCACTAATACTCATCAACTGAACATTGTCTCGATCGAAAAGCGATTTGACATCTGCAGAGTTTCTCTTTTTTTCAAAAAAAATTTTAATACTAAACATCCAGAAGATAGGCGAAGATGACCGAAATCGAACTATCGAGCAGAGAGAGATCCAAAAAAAATACGATTTCTAACTGAACGTTCTTTTATGAATGTTTCCTCACTTTTGATTAAATTCATAAGTTAACTCTAATATAAATCTGTTATATTTCGATTAAATCTACAATGTGGATACTCATTTTCATCTTACGGTGCAAATTAAATAATTAAATTATTCATATTACTGTATATCTATCATGATCCTTATTTTGCTTTCTTGAAGATTAAAATCTATTTCTTTTAATATACAGAGAAGTCTTATTTTAAAACCTATATGAATCATTTTTTTTTCTTCTAAACTTATACATAGTTTTCTTGTTGATATTTACTATTAAACCCACTTTTGAAAGCAACAAATGTTTTTTTTTTTTAACAACCAATATCTGACGTAATAGCCATAAATAAATTATTAATAATTGTTAAAAGTTTTGTTTCTTTTTCAAAAAGAGCACTTATTGCATCAGATAAATTTCGTTTAGTTTCATAATGTTCAACAAATGCATAAAAAAATGATCCACATAAAAAATGATGTGGAAAAATTTTATAACTAAATGGTTGATTGAGAAATTCATTAACATGTATACTATACATATATATTGTTTGTAGACAATTAAATTCATGTATAATACTACAATCGAATTTTTTTAAATCATATACTTTTTTTGATATATCTTTTAATTTTAATTTAATTGTACGACGTATAACTGGATCAATTTGTATATGATTTCGATTATCATTTATTGATAATGTTAATAGTTCAATATCATCTAATTGAAAAGTATCATTATCAATTAAATGAATAGATTTTATTAAAGAAATAATTATAGCATAAAGATAAACAGGTGTAAGATGACGGATAGAATACCAATATTGAAGACTCATTAACCAAAAATGATAATCTGTATGAATATGATTATATTGTTCTTGTTGTGTAAATGATATCTTTAAACATTTTGAAACAAAATCTTGACGTTCAATAAGTGATAGAGAATTTAACTGATTTAAATCAATGACATCGTTATAATCGATGAGATCATATTTACATCGTTTAAGTTGTTTATGAACACGATGATAAAGAATAATATCTTGATCATCTTCTTCTTTATTATCCCATTTAAGTAAAATTGCTAGACATGGTAAAACAATTGGTATTGCATCAACATATATAGATGGTTCTTGTTCAATTTCAACATGTGCAGAACAAACAAAACTACGATGAATAAGAATTTCAATAAATGTTACTGATAAATGAAGATCAGTTAAACTATCAAATAAAAATGTTGGTATTGAATGATTATTTTTACTTTTTATTTCTGATAGACCATTTTCAATATGAATACGAATTTGTTCGTCATTCTAAAAACAAAAATTCATTGTATTTTTTTTTCTCTTTAATTATTTGATTTCTTTTTTTTTTTTTGTGTGTGTTGTTGTTTTTATTACCATATCAAGTTTATCAAAATATTCTCGAGCTAATTGAACAAAATAAACATTTTTAAGAAGATTTTCATTCTTCAATGAAGCAAAACGATAAATAAGTGTATCTGTTGGATTTAAATAAGATTGACATGCTGATCGCAGTTGCATTTCAATTTTCTTTTTCGATGTTTTTCCAATAGGTTCAAGTAATTTTTTTAATGCAATTTCAACATCATCAAAATGTTTCATCCATTGCATAGCATACCAATGTTTTGTTCTATTATTTTTATTAATTTTATTTTTTTCTGATTTTTCTACTGTTGTAGTAATATGATTGAATATTGGTTCAACTGTATTTTCATTAATATAATCATTTCCACATAAACAAAAAGCAAGTGAAAGTGTAGAAGGTTTTAAACCAATAAATTTTTCAAGTAATGAATCTATTGTAAATAATTGAGCAGATAAATAAGAATATGAATTTTTTTTAATTGGATTTACATCAACATAATCAAATGGTATATAACCTTTTAAAAGATTATAACAATAATAATCACTATCACGTGCTATTAAATAACAATCAAGATGATTTGCTAATGAAACACATTCATCATCACCTTCACCTAATGCTGATATATATGGAATGTTCATTTCATTAAGTATATTAATAAATGTTTGTCGTAATAATAATGGACTTAATTCAATATTAACACTCATTTTAGTTGAATAATCAACACGTTTTTGTGATCGTTGAAGTACTGTAGATAATTTTCGATCATCTAATCGAGCACCATCAAATACAACAATAACACTTTGAAAAGAAAAAAATAATAAATTTTTATATAAATTGAAACACATACTTTATTTGACAAATACGAAATGATTCAAATAATTGTTTACAATGATGATAAAATTTATCATATTCACCACCAAATAAACAAGTCAAATGACATTCTTTATACATTTGATGGTAAATTGAATTACCATCAAATAAAACATTACAATTGTGTAATTCAATTTCATTTAGTAAACTTAATTTTTGTTCAATAAATGTTTGTAAACCTCGAATACCCATCTTCAGATAAAACAAATATATATGTATATATGTATATTAAATACGCAAATATTAAATGTAATTATTTGTGTATCAAAACAAAAAAAACCCGAAAAAAAAACTCCATAATGAACGACTGATCAAAAAGAAAGAAAAAAAAATAAGCATATTTAAAAAGTTTTTGGTTAAAACATGCCGAGTGGTCGCGACATAAGAATGTACGCAGCAATATAGTGCACAAATTCGAAAAGGAAGAAAACTGCACAGAAAAACAAACAAATAAACGAATAATTCGTCAAGAACAAGAAAAAAAGAAGTCATATTATTTAGTTGAAGGCATTTCTCATCGCACATACAATGCACAAATATAAGAAAAAAGAAAAAGCACGAACACAGGACGAATTCGGACTGAAAGCAAACATTCACGGATAAAGTCTAAAGAACAATAAAACAAAAAGTAAAATTGACGTTAATCTGACTAATATATGTCCTTATTCGAAGATGATAATGCACGAGATTTGTCATTTGAAGATTATTGTACTAACAAAAATAAACAAGGAAAAACAAGAACATATTTCTACCAAGCATCTGTATATCGTATATCGCATTCTTGTAAAGCTGGTAATTTTTCCTAAAAAAAATAAATAAAATAATTCATTAATTTTTTAATCAGGAAAAAAAAAGAAGAGAAATTTTTATATTTTTTTATTCAATCTATACTTTTAAAGCTTCAAATGTTAATGGAGATAAATGTGTTGAATTTAAATTAAGTTTTCTTAACATTTTCATGCCTAAAAATTCAAAAATAAACAATATGAAATAAAAAGAATATTAACAAATATTATAATCTTACATGCTAAATGAGCTAAACCTTTATCAGTAACTGGTGTTTCACATAAATTAAGTACTTGTAATCGATTTAAATGTTCAGAAATTAATTCTAAACCAGCATCACCAAACTAAAATAGAGAAAAAAAAAAAGGAAATTCAATGAAAATTTTCATTTTAATCTAACGAACTTGTGTTGACCATAAATTTAAATATCTTAAAGCTGGTAATTTAATTAAATGTTCAGCACAAGCACTTGTAACATTTGTAAATGCTAAACTTAAACATTCAAGATTACCAAATGAACCACTTGATAATAATTTAGCTAAATCATTATCAGTTGAACGTGAAGGTAATGTTAATTTTCTTGGTCCACCTTTTTGTTGTAATTCTCTTAATGCTATTTGTCTTTCACATACTTTAGCATACATTTTTAAACCAGTTGATGTCGATTGTAATGTTGATATTAATTGTAATTTATTATCACGATTTTCTACTGCATCTAAATCAAGCATAGCACATAAAGTCTAAAAAACAAAAAGGGAAAAAATGAATTTTTTTTTCTTCAAAAAATTTTAATTTTTTTTACGTCTAATGAACTTTGACTTTCACGTAATGCAAGTAACATTAAAGCCGGTAATAATTTATTAATACTTAATAAAAAACGTTTTTTTCGACAACAACATGATATTAATTTACTGAGCTAAAAAAAAAATGGAAAAAGATTTTTTTTTTGTTTTTGTTAAAAAATTTTTTTTTTCTTTCTATTACCATCAATGAAAACATTTCACCATCATCATCACAAGCAATACTACCCAAACAAAACATTTCAAACCATCCTTCTTTACCTTCACGAATACCTAATACTGTTTGATGAACTTCACATCGTGTATCTTCAACGAAATTCTTAACAACATTTTTAAATATTCTATTTAAAGAAATAAAAAGAAAAATAATTAATATTAAAAAAAAAGAAAAATTAGTTACTCAATAAATCGATCATGTGTTAATGCTTCATCAGGAAAGGGGACGGATTGTAGAAGCAAGCCAAGATGAGGTCGCCAGTCATCAAATGTTGACCTAAATTGAAAAATAAATATAGTATTATCATGTCTACGTTCTTTAAAACATTTTTATCATCTCGTATCATTTATAAAAATAAAATGAATAATTGGATGAAGTATCTACGTTATTGACTTATGCACTCAAGTAGTACGCAGTACTTTCCATAATGTACTTCATTTATAACAAATAGTAAATATCTTCCGTACTTCGCTTCTTTATAGACCCTTTACTACTATTGACAATATCTTATTTAAGAGGAAATAACAAAATAATTGATTGGATGTTAGTATTGAATAAACAGCCAATGTAAGAAAAGTAGGTTTTTGAAAATTTTATATGCATTTATTTTAATTGAAAACTAACTTAACTTTAAAATTATTAATTAAAAATAATAATTATTATCTGTTACAGTAGGTTTATAATGGGAGAGATGGAGTCCGGCAGAAAACGTATTAATTAAGTAGAAATTATGTATGAATCATCATGTATACCAGTGAACGAGAATCGTACTACTAGCACATTTTATGGTTAATAGTAGATGTATGTAATTCTACACAAATAAGAGCAAAACAAGGAGAATAACGTGTTTATAAATCGATATAAAATTTCTTTATCAATTTTATTTGATAATATTTAATTGAAGTTTGTTTCTCTTTAACAGTCATATCTCGACCGATAGCAATTCTCTGATCTATTTGTGTAATTCGATTCCTTTTAAAAAATTTTTATTGCTTCCGATGTTATTCAAATTAGACAAAGACTAACGATAGATCGTTCGACATAATATGCGTAATATCGGCGGTAATAGCAAAAATCCGACAAACAATTCATGTTTATTTGATACGTCAATAATAGGCTATGCCATTCTATCGCGGCATATCCATAGTTATTCTCTGATCGGCAATCTAGTACCATTATTAAGGACAAATATGCAATATAGATCATAAAAACAAAAATCTAAGATATTCAATGAAGAGACTGCTAATGTATTTAATACTTACATTGTTTGTAACATTTTTGTATAACATACTAATTGACTTTCAGCTTCTTCTTCATATGCTCGGCAACTTTCTTTATCTTCAAAGCGAAAACTATTTAATAAAACGGAAAATAAGATATATATATATATAAATATATATATTTGTATATACAGTCGAGGACAATTAAAATTATACCCTTTGATTTTTTTGTTTTTTTTTATCACTATACATTTTTGTCTATTAACTTACCATATATATAGGGAGAAAGTTCAGAACTTGTAGTATTTTTTTATTATTTCGCACATATCTCGGCTTAGATAAATGATAAAATCTTGAATTTTTTTTCGAAAAATGTGTCGTGAAAAGCTCTATGAAAGTTGTATGATTGAATCCCTTTTACCTGTTCTAATAATTTTTCTTATACTCAAAATGAACAACTTTTATAGCAGTATCACTTTCCATCATACTGAATATGTTGGAAGACTTTCTTGTTGTGCATATATCTCGACTTGAGAAAATGATGGAATATTGAATTTGCTTTTAAAAGATGCACCGTCGAAAGCTCTACAAAACTTATATAGACCAAATCCTATAGCGACTCGAAAAAGTTCTCGAAATATTTTCTATATGACAAGAAGTGACACTGCTATAAAAGTTGTTCATTTTGAGTATAAGAAACATTATTAGAACAGGTAAAAGGGATTCAACCATACAGCTTTTCACAGTGCATTTTTTGAAAAAAAAAATTCAAGATTGTACCATTTATCTAAGCCGAGATATGTGCGAAACAAAAAAAAGTACTACTACCTTATGGACACCCAGTTTTGCAAAAGAAAAAAAATGTCCTTTTTTTCCCAATATACTTTTTACATTTTAAACTGCATTTGATGTTCAAAGTAAATATACGAAAAGATACAGCAAGTTCTAGACTTTCTCCCTATATATACTAAGTTAATAGATAAAAACGTATAGTAATAAAGAAACAAAAACATCAAAGGATATAATTTCAATTGTCCTCGACTGTATATATATATATATTATATCAAATAGAAATAATTGAAATATTAACTTTTTTCGATCGTCAAAAAAATTATAAATTGCCGCAAGACAAACAGAAACAAAATTTGAGAGAACACGTGGAAATGGACAGATCATTGTTGGACCATGTATTCTAAGATAAATAAAAATAATATTGTTTTTTTGTTTTTATATATATATAAAAATAAATATTTTATTACCGTTTAATAAAATCTTGTACAACACGTAAACCATCATTTTGAGAATTAAGTGCTAGAAGATATTCTTGAACAAATATTCTCATTCGTGGATATTTACCAAAATCCTTTAAGTAGAATTATGAATTTCTATTATAAATCTTAATTATAAAATTTTTACTGTATTATGTTTTAAAATTCTTTGAACAACCGGTGTAAACATTTCAATAACAATTTGCGAACGTGGACTATCACGACAATGCTAAATTAAACAAAAGAAGAAGTTTTTTTCAAAAATGAAATATAAATATGTTTAATTCATACACGACTAAAAAAATCACATATTTCTGGTGATGGATAATTCTTTTCAAGTAATGGTGCTAATGCTACAATCACATTCTCATGGACAAAACGTGGTAAATTAAATTCTTGCTGCAAAATAAAAAAAAATCATTGTAATTAAAAAAGAGAAAACAGCAAAGAACATTTCTCTTTTTTTTTTTACTTGTTGCAAAATTTCAGAAATAATTTCCAGTGGAAAATGATGAACTTCAACATCTTCAATTGGTGTTGTCATTGCAAAATCAATCATATTCTAATTATAGAAAATACAAATATACATATTTTTTATTTGAAAAATATTTATATATTAAAAGATATTACCATCATTTCTTTTAAAAGTACTTCCGGACGATTAGCTGAGCGTAAAATACGTTCAAATTTTAATTTATTTCTCTAGTTAAATGTATAATAATATGAAAGAATTCAAAAATGAATATTAACAATAACATACTTTCCATTGTATTGAATAGAACCACTGATCTCTTAAATGAAGTGTATTAACCTAAAACAAGAAAATATTCGATAATCATTGAAATTTTTGTTTCAAAAAATCAAATTCGTATTTTTTTTTGTTACTTGAAAAAAATAAATACAATCATTTGTAACAATTCTTATACAAAATCGACAATCCGAATCAATCACTTTCGATTTTGACCATACAGATATATCTTCAATTGCTGAATAGGCTATCGATCTATCCATATAATTTTCATTCTATATAATAATAAGAAAACAAAAAAGTTTCATTAAATATATATAAAATAATAGGAACAAAAAAAAAAAAGAAAACAAACTGTTATTGAAGTTATTTCACTATGTTCAAGATTAATATGATGATCTTCCCAACGACGAAGAAAACGTGAAAAACGTATTTTTTCTATAATATTTTTTGCATGAGGTACACGACACACTTGAACAACACCATCAGTTAATAATTTATAACGTTGTTGTATACGACGACCATTAACAAGCATACAAAGTGTATTAGGTGTAGTTGCACTTGCACTAGCTCCGGTACAATTATTTGATGGCGATGTTAGACTTATATTATCATTATGTCCTAATGAATAATAACGACTACGATGATTTCCACTAGATAAAGAACTTGAACTAATTGCATTACTCTTGGATGATGATCTTAATTGGTTTTCCATTTTATTATAAATTCTAATTAAATAGATTTAATTTTTATAAGCCATTAATTTTTTTTATAATTGATTACCTGGTAGATGATGCTTAACTGGATATCAGAAATATTTTGATTGAGCGGTAACACACTTTAAATTCAATTTATCTGAAAAAAAAATTAAATTTACTGATCAATATGTCATAGTGTGCTTTAATCTTATGAAAAAATTCCATACTATATATATCCTAGGAGTAACATAATTGCTTACGTAGACGGATGTGCAAAAGTTAAACATGCCTTTGATAAACCTTTTGATGTTTTTTTGAGTTACTCATTTGGTTTAATAATTCTCTCACGGTTAAAATCTAATGACCCTTAGATATTTATTCAAATTTATGTAAAATTGCTAATTTTCCTGTTGAAGTTTTTTTAAAGGGATAATGAAAACAAAAGTATATTAGACAAAATAAAATGCGGAATTATCAATATAGATTGACAATTGTCTAATACCTTTGCTTTTTGAAAAAGAAAAATCCATACACATCGTATTATAATGGTTAGTTGTCAAAAGAATCATCCTTATATAGAAACAAAAATGGATTTAAGTTGACAGCTCTTCATTATTGATAGACAATGTTCTCTTACATTTTCTATATGTGTTCTTAAGCTCGAAATATAATAAAAAAGATGCCTGAGAAAATTTCCAAGAATGACGCAAAATAAAAAATTGACATGAAAGAGGGTTGCATGCCATGACTTTTATGATAATAAGAGGGGAAGAGTGATGGAAGAGAAAAAAAAAAGAAAAAACGATGTCATTGAGGGCGTCACAGTCTACTTATTGAAATATAGAAGCAACAGTAATACTAGTTTTAGGAGAAAAAAAAATAGAAAAATACGTAGGCCCAACAGCGGAAGGAAAGGAAAAAAAGCAGGAGAACCGTCAACAATGATGACGACTATGCGACAAAGCCCCGGATTTATGTGTGTTCTTCATATAATACTTGATGTCATACGGCGGCAAAGAATAGACGAAGAAAAACTTACTAGTGGCAAACGAATGAGAAAAATAAAAGAGAAAAAAAAAGAAGAAGAAAACGAGTTGGTTTTGTCTTCGACATTATCAATGAAATATTGAGGAAAAGCTTCTGTCATTGTTGAATTCTGTTATTGTGCGCTTTACATTACTTTTTTTTCTTTTTATCTTCCTGTAAATCTGTGAAGGGGTGTTTTTCCTGAAATGCATTTGCTTACCATTATTATATTCTCATTACGTTTTTCTTTTCCTTAATAATAAAGTACGTTACTTGAGAAATGTCTATACAACATGTTTTAAGATTCATGAAACTTCAAAAGATTTTTATTACAAAGAAAAAGAGTGGTTGTTCATTATGAATCAGTATTCATAAAGATATTTTTTTAATGATAAACATAACTTAGCATTTTTCTGTCGACTTCTTATTTTACAATATTGCTTTTTACGCATCTGACTCTTGTCAATTTACAACAGAATAGAATTACATTTGTCTAATTTTGACTGTTTTTCTTTTTGTTTTTTTTTTGAAAGAAAAGAAATAAGAGAGATTCATTGCATTATAATCGTATTGTTTTCAATGGCGCACAAGTTCAATGTTGTCATATCTGTCATTTAATATCATCTATCATCATTTTCATATATCTACATAAAATTTATTTTTAAAAATAATCTAAAATAAACAAAACAAGAGATTTATTGAGACAAAAAAACAAAAAAAGAAAAATTTTCTCGTTGATATATATAATTCGATTCATGTGTAAGATAAATTTTTTTCGTTTAAAAATAAACAATAAAAGAAAAATATACAACAACATAAAATAAAAACCAATGTACACAGTATATTAACAAATATACATATAACACAAAAATAAAAGAACATATTTATTCTCTAATATTATGTCACATATTTATGTTCTGTTGATGGCAAGATGAAATTGAATTGACATCTGATAAAAGAAAAGGAATAATAATATTGGCGATTAATGAGAGCACCATGCTTCATTTACATTCATCTGGATTAACATTACTTGTTTTTGAATAAATATGTCTTTCTTCTAAATTATTATTATTATTTTTAAATTCAATAAAAAAAAAAAATCTAAACATGATATTACTTTTCATTTTGTAGACTATACAAAGTATGAATATAATTAATACAATTAGTAATAATAATCCACTAATGATTACTACAATTATAATTTCGATTATTCGTTCTGCACTTAATGATGTTTCAGTTGTTGGTGAAGAAGTTATTTGTGATTCTATAGGAGAATCATCATGTTAAGAATGTCAAAGTTTTTTTTTTTTTAATTTCTTTATTAAATATTATTTTTCATACCAGTGTTTGTTTCTGGTAAAATATAATTTAAACAATCAGAATCACAACTCAGTTTTTCAATTGAATCAGGAATTTGCAAATGATTTGAAACGTCTTTGTGCAATTCGTCTTCATGACATGTATCATAATTTCGACATTTCTATATTTAATATAAATATTAGAATGAAATTTCATAATGTATTCTATTAAATACTTACGCCATTACAACGACGAATAATAAATTCAACTCGATAAATAGATACATCATCTACAGTAAATATTATTGTATGACCAGTATTTTTAAGACTTTTTACTATGGAATTAACACATCTATAAAACTCAATATATTTGAACTATTTGTTGTTTTTTTCTTCAAAGTCTGACATACTTTTGTGAGAACCAAAAATTAACTACTTGTAGAATTTCATCATAAGCACGTTTAGCCCAGAGAATTTCGAATGATTCATTATGTTCTAAATGAAATAATAATAATAAAATAGAAATTATTTTTCTTTTACCTAATCCGGTAGCTGTTATATTAAAAGTATATAAAATACATTCACCACCATCTGATTGAGTTGCAGTAATCAATGCAGCAATTGGCTTATACTAAACATAATATATATATATATATATATATCCTATGTTATAAATAAACTTATTAAACTTACATTCACTTGACAATAAATACAAGCATATTCATTATATTGTGAGGATTTCTAAAAAGTAATTATATAGAATTAATTTTAATACGACAAGAAATGTTAATATCGTATTTACTAATCGAGCTTTTAAATAATTTGAACCAAAACGACTAATTCCACATTGACCAATATAAGCTTGTTGTGTACCATTTTGACTACAAATTGATGTTTGATTAGCAAATTTCCAATTTAATGTATCATTCTATATGTATATAAATATTTATCATAGTAATATAACATCTGTTTTTTATACTCACATTAATTTCATTGAATATTAAATAACTATTGTTACATTTAATATTAATATCTGAACCAAATGACAATATTTCAATAAATGGACAATAATCTTCATTGCTGTTTGATGAAGGGTCATTTTTTCCTAAAAGCAAAACAACAATATGAAATAAGCTTATCCTTTTTTCTATTATGTTTTCTTTTTGGATTAAATTTTGATTACCTTCACATTCAGTCATAAAAGGATTAATAAAAATGAATATTAGTTGTAAAGTAATAATTATGAATAAAGTAGAAGTAAACATTGGGAATCGGCATCTGTTGATGACTATTTCCTAAATAGATTAAAAAAAGAAAACGAGAATTTTTTTTTGCTATGTCTGTGTATGATTCCCACGGTCTACCATTACATAATCAATATAAGAAATAGAATAATAATAATTGTGAACAATCTCGTTGTTAAAAATTACTGCTAATCATTTTACTGAATTCTCATAAATGATTAATGTATCAGAATAGTTGTATATGCTACGAATGAATCAATAATTACACAACCTTTTACTCGTATGGAAAAAAACCCCATTCACACTTAATTTATTGCCTGATATCAACTATCGAAAAACAAAATAGAAAAACAAAATATTATTTACAACCGTACTAATGAAAAACATTCAAACATTTATAAAAAAAAATCTGTTGTCACCTTGTAGGAATTCTTTCAATTAAAATGAAAAATCTATTTTCTTTGTTCTCTCTCTCTCGAAACAATTTGAATGTTTTTTTTTTGTCATAAGATTCAAAGACAAATCTGTAGTATATCCTTATTTTATTAGTAATATCTCAAAAACATGTTTCTCTAGCAGAACACTTATATAATTATATGTTTTTTGATGTTAGATTTTTTTTGTCTTTACATTTTTTTTTCCCTTTTTTTCCTTCGTTCTCTTAACTCTCATTGACAAATATCTTTATTTAATGCGAATAAAAAAAAAAAAGACAAGAAATGTAAAAAAAAAAAAAAGAATAAGCTTATAATAAAAACCTATTTTGCATAAAAAAACAAGTGTCTTTCGGTTGCATACTCACTATATATCAACTATTTGTATACAATAGTTCTACTTCGAACATATCACATATGTCTTATTTTCTATCACAAAATGAATAATCATCAAGTAATGAAGCCAATTCGAATGTTCACAAATAGTTTTTGATAATGGATAATCATTTTTACAAAACAGAAAAAAGTCTGATCTTAAAACAAAAAGAAAGAAATTATATAGTCAAATACAAACCAATATAATACTTGAATGAAAAATCTTGCTCTAAAAGATAAGATTTTTTTAAAAATAGATATAAATGTCCTTGTCTGTTTTCATTCATTCAATATAGTACTCAAGTATGAGTAATAAATTATTCAGAGAATCATATGATAAGCAAAAAATTCAATATAGTTTGATAAGAGAATATATGTTAGCATTACAACTTGTAATCATTGAATGGAATATTCTACTTCTTCATCTACTATATTTTTATTTGTCTATAGGCAAGTTTCCTGACATAGTTATATAGAAACAAGAAAATCAAACTTATTACAATTCTCATATTTCTTACGGAACAAATAACATAGAATATTTCGCAGCTATTTTACATGATTGCTATAGATAGAATTTCTTTGAAAAAAAGTCATATACATTCTGAGAAAATTTTTCTTAATAAGAAAAAAAACACTGAGAAGGCTCTTATGAGATTATAAATTAATCTTACAAAGAGATGGTTTGTTAAGTTTCATGCTCAAAGTTATTATTATAACCATCATTTATTAGAGTATATATTTTTTATTCAGTAACTTGAAAGAAAAATTTCTAATTTTATATTAATCAAACAAAGAAAAAGAATCTTCAATCATTGTACTGTGGAAATATATAATTATATTTTCATAAAAATGTTCATTTGTAATTGATTTAAAAGAATTTTTTATTTTAAAATTTAATATTTACGATTAATAAATACTTTTCATTAATCATAAATTTATAACTCCTGATTTACTCTGCACAGAATTCTATATCATCATTTTATATATAAAAGAAAACTATGGTTCAAACTATCTGTGCCAATAGTATACAATAGAAACAAATGTCAAGGATTAATACACTTCTCTGATCCATCATCAAATATCTTATGGGTCCGTACTTTATTTAAAGTACTTTCATAACATTGAAAAAGAAATTTTTCCAATTTTTATTAATAAAAATCAATAAATAATAATTTCAATGTATATATTTGTTAAATAATAAATATTTTTTGAATTTATTATGTTTTTTTTAAATAGTGACATCTGTTCTCAATTTCTTTTTCTTTCGGTGCACACAAACTGTTGGTGGTGTAGAACGCAAAGCCTACTTGTGTATTGCTTTTACTGTTCGGTATGTTTTTTCTTTTTTACTATATACATATATATATATATATTGAATTTGATTCTATAGATAATCATCTGTTTTCAATCCATCCATTATAAAAAAAAAAAATGTCATTATTAACACGTCTAACTATTTCATCACCATCGGCTTTATGTCGTCTTGGTCAATTATTAGCTAACCGACAAATTATATTTCAACAACAATTGCCAGTATTAAGTATGGCTAGTTCATTAATGGTTCCATCACAACGTACAATTGCTACATCGGTTATACGTCATGATATTGATTCAGCTGCTAAATATATTGGAGCTGGTGCAGCCACTGTTGGTGTAGCTGGTGCTGGTGCAGGTAGAATTTTCTTTTTAATTTTTAAAATAAGTAAAAATAGTAAATCATCTATTTGATTTTGTTTAGGTATTGGAACAGTATTTGGTTCATTAGTAGTAGCTTATGCACGTAATCCAAGTTTAAAACAACAACTTTTTTCATATGCTATTCTTGGATTTGCTCTTTCCGAAGCTATGGGGCTTTTTTGCCTAATGATGGCTTTTATGTAAGTATATTTATCGTTTTATTTTATTAAATAATTTATTCATTTATATATTTTTTGTTTTTGTTTATTTTAGGCTGCTGTTTGCTTTCTAAAACTACTGAATAAGAAGAAAAAATAAAAACACGTGAACTTTAACATTTTAATAAACTATACGCATTCAATGTTTTGTCTTTGTCATTTGTGTCATGCGTATTTGGTTATTGTCTCTAGCGTAATTTTTCTCATTCGCGTGTGATTTATTTAGTTTGTAGTTGTATTATCTCTTTTTTCCTATCCGAACTCTTTCACTCCGGTTTGTCAGTCTGTAATTTCAACATCAACATTTTTTTTTGTAGACAGTATTTTTTTTTTCTTTTTGAATTGAAAACAAACGGACAGACTTATACATTAACTCTTGATGAATTGATTGCAAACTATCACAATATAATCAAACATTTACAGAACAAAAACCGCGTATTGAACGAAGAATTTATTTAATTTATTATCTTTGTTTAAGATATCGAAAAGTTGGAAAGGAAATCGGAGATAGGAACAAAAAAAAAAAAGAAGTACCTCTTTTCTCGATTGGATATGAGAAAAAAGTCTTTCGTTCAATGATAATTATAGTACTTAAGAACTTTTATAATATATATTGGTCAATTTTGATCTTTTTTTTTTTTATTTAAGAAAGGTAAGTTCAATGTTTGTCATTTCAAAAAAATTGGCATGTTTTCGTCCGACATTCATTCGTACGGTGACTACCGATGTTCTTCGAATTGGATCTGTCATGCGTCCAGTAACTCCATCAAATGATAATAATCAATCACTTATACCAATATTGTATTATGAAAAAAATTTTTTTCCACCATCATTTATTCGTCATCTTGAATGGTTAATGAAAAAAGATAAACTTGGACAAGATGCTTTATTTGTTGGTCCACCTGGTCCAACTCGTCGTCATCTTATTCTTGCTTATCTTGAATTAACTCGTAAACCATATCAATATTTACAATTAACTCGTGATACAACTGATTCTGATATAAAACAACGACGAGAAATTCAAAATAAAACAGCATTATTTATAAATCAAGCAGCTGTTAATGCTGCAATACATGGTCATACACTTGTTTTAGATGGTTTAGAAAAAGCTGAACGAAATGTTTTACCTATATTAAATAATTTACTTGAAAATCGTGAAATGAATTTAGATAATGGACAATTTTTAGTATCAACACAACGTTTTGATGAATTATTAAAATTTTATACGAAAGAACAACTTGATCAATTGAATTTTATTCGTGTTCATGAAGATTTTCGTGTTATTGCTTTAACATTACCACCACTAGCAGAGTATAGAGGACATAGTCTTGATCCACCATTACGATCTCGATTTCAAGTAAATCGATTTTCAATACTTTGTTGTTTTTCTTTGTATTACGACAATTTCCTTTTTTGTATAGTTACGCGATATTAGTAATGTACCATTAACATTTACTGAACATACAAATCTTCTTAGAACATTGCATCCTAATGTTGAAGGTTATTTCATTGAAAATTTACTTTCATTAGCATCATTAATTAATTCAACAGATTTAGAAACTCTTAAATTAGTACATTTTCCATTTGATCGTCTTAATCTTTCTGTTCATTTAGCTGAATTAATTCCAAATATAAATCTTATTGATTGTTTTCATCGTATTTATCCATATGATATTCTTTATAAAAATTCAAAAGAATCAAAACAAGTTATTCAACATATGTTTAAACAATTAGCTATTCAAGAACAAGTAGAAAAATCATCAAAGAAAATTCTTAATATCAATCGACAAGAAACAAAAGCTATTGTCGATTATGAAATCAATGGAAAAAAATATCAAATAACGGTATTATTTTTTTTGTCAATTATAATCGAGTTTGATGAAAATTTTCATTGACTTGATTTAAAATAATTTAAAATAGTATTTAAAAATTATTATATTTAGGTACCAGCTCATGATACATCATTACCAATTACTTCACCAACATTTATTAGTACTTCTTATCATGATCAACTTCTTTCTGATTTAATATTAAGTCATACTATTGGAGATATATGTTTAGTTGGTCCAAAAGGTTGTGGAAAAAGTTTAATTATTGATCAATTTGCTTCATTACTTAATTATCCAATTGAATATTTTGTACTTTATAAAGATTTATCAGCACGTGAATTATTACAACAACGTATTACTAATGAAAATGGTGATACTTTATGGCAAAATACTCCATTAGTACAAGCAGCTATTCATGGTCGATTACTTGTACTTGATGGTATACATCGTTTAAATAATGATACATTAGTTTCATTACAAAGACTTATACAAGATCGTGAACTTTTTCTGCCTGATGGAACTCGTCTTCTTCGGTAAATAATTCAAATAAAAAATAGTTTCTTTTTTTTTTTAATATTTGATTGATTTGT